TCTTATTTTTTGCTGTATTTTACAGTGTTTCGTTAACCTCAACATACTGCCTCAAGCCACCAAAAAGTCTACAAAACACGATCTCGATATTTTCACCCCCCCCCCCTAGCCCAACCCCCCTGCAAAACCTACCGGGGAGCAACTGAAAGCGATGTTCATCGCTTTCCGTCATCATCACCCAGTCACCCAGTCCTGGTTTGTCCAATATGAGGGCAGGTGTTCAGGGAGAGGTGCAATTAGTCCACTCTCGCTCACCTTCTTCGGAGACGGTGGCAGTTCAGCGGCTCGTCGCTCGGCCGTGCTTTGTTCCAACTCACACCTGGGATGGTCTCACATGCCATTGTTACTGGTATGCAACTGAATTCAGAATCCTGGAGCTTGCTGAATTCATTCAACTCAAGACGCTCGCTTCTGCTCTTCAATTTGATGCGAATGTCAAACCTTGGGCATCGCATCGCAATCATGCACAATGTGCATGATTTATGATACATCGCGCACAAATCATACCTCACTGATGTTACAAGTCCTTTATCAACAAGCTCGTCTGGTAGTAAATCAAGGAACTGCGCCGCACCTTGCAAATTCACATTCATTAGATCAATCCTGATGTTGCGAGCGATTGAATGGAGAGAGCAAACATGAATCTATAGCAAAATATTCGCAACTGTGTGAGCATGCAGCAAATCAATTGAAAGTTTGTCGGCTGGGTTTGTAGGAAGCTGCACTGCCCGCTTGTAGAAAATTGTGAGGCAATCATCCCAGTACTACCGCGGTCTTGCCCAGTATGGCACCGCTTGCCCGTTCCCAGAGAACGCGATCTTGACACACGGGACACGTCATACACATCCCAGAACTGGCCTCATATTGGGATTTTGTGCCTGCAACTTTAGCAACTCCGGTTCCAACTGATTCAGAACATTGCGCGCATAGGCCGGCAGAATCGCCATCATTGTGAAAAAGCCAACAAACATGCCTGCAAGTGGTGTGCAAATTCCCAGAGAAAGCTGGCAACAAACCACTTGAGGGGAAGGGCAAAAGATTGGGAGGCGTCCTCAATCTTGTTTCCACTTGCAAAAATTATGGTTCTACACTAAGAGTCGTGGATGACCCACAGCTTTACCTTCTGGAAAATGGCCCGGCCAGGCAGGTGGGGAATTTGTAGTTGAGGCAAAAAGACTCTTTGCAGGTTATTTATATAGATATGTGGACTCCAACCTAATAGCTTCTTCTTGCTACTAGCAGCGATGGCCTCCAACCTAATGGCGATGGCCTCCAACCTAATAATAGTAGCTTCTTGCTACTAGCAGCGATGGCCTCCAACCTAATAGCGATGTCGATGGCCTCCAACCTTATAGCGATGGCCTCCAACCTAGTAGCTTCT